TGACTTTAAGTTGTAGCCCTAGCTCTGCATTGTTACATATTGAAAAAAAGCTACAACAATTAAGTTAATTAAGTTAGACAGAAATATTATCTGCAAATACTGACGACGATAGAATAATTGTTTTAGGCATTTTAGACAAGTACAATGTCCATAAATGTCATAATATATCTGGGTTTCGGACTGTTGACATCTTGAGACATCACAATTGGCAGTATTGAAATTATGACGTGCATTTTCCTCTTCTGACATGTTAGATAATAAATCATCAGATTAAATGATAATGAAAATTATTATATACAGCACTGAATCACACCTCAGACACAAAGAAATATTATCATCCCACCTTTTCATTTATTTAAGGTTAAGCTAGAGCTGCAACGATTAGTCGATTGGTTCTCAACTATTAAATTAAATCAACAACTATTTTAATACTCGATTAATCGTTTCGAGTCATCCAAATTCTCTGACTCCAGCTTCTCATGTGAATATTTTCTTGTTTCTTTGCTCCCCTGTGACACTGAACTGAATATATATTTGGGTTTCAGACAAAACAGGAACATTTGAGGACCTCACATTGGGCTTTGGGAAGCACCGATCGACATTTTTCACTATTTTTGAACATTTTATAGACCAAATGACTAATCTATCAATGGTGAAAATGATGATCAGATTAATCGATACTGAAAATAATCGTTGGTTGTAGTCCTAGCTAGTCCACGTGGTCAATGCGACCAGCGCTTCCACGGCAACAACCGATCATCTGCTCATGTGTGAAAGTGTCCACCAATCTGACTGCAGAAGGTAGTATAACCAGAAGTAGTCCGCGTCCGCTCCCGAGTATAATTGAGGCTTAAGGAGGCCCAGTCAGTCTTGGCTGATCCTAGCCAGCCTCTGTTTAAGAAGTTCATGTTGCTGCCGTCTCCCTGTAGAAACAGTAGGCCAGCAGGCAGGACAAAGAGACTTAAATTTAATTTGTCAGCTGCCTCTGGCTTTTAAAATCTTGCGGTTCTATTTCAACGTTAGTTATTTTATTCTCATTTCTTTACTGCCCATGATTTAATTGTTTTTGCTGATCTTTTAGCTCTGTGTTTGGTCTCCACCATCTCCTGAGCGAAATATCTGTCTCTTTAGCCGCTAAATGAACCACTACGTTCAACAGCTCGTCTGTGTCTGCCTGCCGTTTGCTGCTGAGCAGGTCGTGCAGTGCGGCTTTATCAGAGCTTGTTTGTCGAAAACAGCTGCTGTGGCTGCAGAAAAGAGGCTGAACCAAACTGTAAATACGCCGTGAAAACCAAAACTATAAAGAACAGTAAAATACCTGTAATGGAAAATGTATTTTAAACTGCTTGACATTTTCTCACACTCTCTTGTTTTATGTTGAAAGTGCCAGAGAGTGGGAAAATACTGTATCTGATTTAGATCCTCCACACCTTGTTTTAGTAACTGTGAGTTGGTAGAAATAGGAGGGCCGAGTCAGGGCCCCCAGGGTGTATGTATAAAACAATATCTAGAAAGGTAGCTGTTTGCAGTGGAGACAACTGACCTCTGTGTGCTCTGAGCCCATTTTCAAATGTAAAATAAACTTGCACAAATACAACCCTTGGGTGTTTTATCTTAAAACACAGATTTCCACAACAGACACTAAAAAAGCTGAGGGGAAATCCAGAGTCAGGTGCATAGACTATTTATTTATAAAAGGTCAGGTGACAATTCTCTGCGGGTATGTTGGTTTGTTATTACGAGCAACCACTTCCACATCACACAAGAGTCATCTCAGTCCTTGTTATCATCCACGACGAGTGCAGCTTTCTCTCCCCTTTACAAAAAACATGTTACTCATCAAAATAACAGCAAAAAATTTGGCTTTTCAGTATCAGAGACTCAGAGCTGATTTGATATCTTGATTAACTATTCATTGTGCTGCAACGACTAAACGCTTAGCTGTCAACTATTAAATTAATTGCCAATTATTTTGACAATTGATTAATCAGTTTAAGTCAATTCAAGTAAAGTCTAAATTCTCTAATTCCAGCTTCTTAAATGAATTTTTTCAGATTTCTTTCCCCCTCTATGACAGTAAACTGAATCTATTTGGGTTGATGAACGGAGAAGAATCATCCAAATACATCCATCTCATCAATCAACCTCAAAACAACGTTGATTACACAGAGAAAAACTTGTGAAATGACTGAGCAGCACAGGATGTGAAGTGGAGAGGTGTTGAACTGACTGCTCAACCTGTCGTTAATCCCATCACACCGATGAGAGGATTACAGCAGCCTCACAGTTACTATCACCACGCCGTTTAGCTCCTTCTGTCTACACATGAAAGAAGTCATTATCACTTCTTCAACGTCAGAACAAACGTTTCAAAGTGCAAAACTTCAGACTCGTCAACTTCCAGCTCTCACTGCCGGAGGTAAAAATAGAATTAAGTGGCCACTTTTTGGAGAGCAGTGCTGCACATTAAAATGAGACCAGGACTGATTAAAATCATCATCTTTTAATTAATTTTATGTCTGCAGGTATATCAAGTAGAAATTCAATTTAGATTAGGGCTGAACAATTAATAGCATTTGTGCCATTATTGCGATGTGATAAAACACGTTTTTCTAATCGCAAAGGCTGCGATTACACTCTGGTCACATGGTACGCCAGAGTAAAGCAGTCTGCAGAGGAAGCATCAAATTTGCACATTACACTGTACCTCGACTTGTTGTTGTACAAAAGCCTTCAGCTTGACAGAAGCTGACACTACAGAAACTTTAGTGTCACACAGGGAATTAAAGTAGCACCCGCCACCCGCTTGTAAATTCGTGATGGTGGTGGGTGAAATCGTCGGGCCACCCTCCACTTTGGCGAACAGGATAAATACACAACAGAAAGGCGCGTGTAGTAAGGTAAGCGTCGGACAATAACTAAGCTTGTCTATTAAATACGAGAGCCGTCACTTCATTTTATTTTCGTTGGCCAACTTTTGAATTGAACCTCAAACTGAGTATATTTTGTGTTTGCTTACTGGGATACAGAAAGATGGACTCCTGGGAGATTTGAACTGAGATAAGGACTCATTTGTGTTTGAACTGTGGGCTTTGTATTGAGCGCTTACTGTAAAACAAGTGGTCTGTAGGTAGGCTGACCTGATGATATTTATATCATATTATTTAATGCCATGACTTGACTCAAATTATCTTTCTCATATTATTATAATTTGATACTTCTTCTCCACCATTGCTCATAATAATAATTCTACCTGATTCATCATAACACAGGCCTGACCCACAGGAAAGAACAGTGTATGTTCTATCTATCTAATATTGTGTTGGTCATACTATACACTGATTTACCGCTTGTCCCTTTGGAATAATATAGAAGGTAAAGAGCTTAAAAATTAATCACATATTAAATCACAATATTGGTTAAAAAAATAAAATAAAATCGCAATTAGATTATTTTCCAAAATCGTTTAGCCCTAATTTAGATGTATGTTCTGTTAGGGCTGGACAATAAAACAACTAGAATAATTATCGTGGTATTGTTTTGTTTGATCACAAAAGAATGATTTTAACTTGATAGAGAACAATCAGCAAATGACATGTGGATTACAAAAAACACACCTGCATGACTGCACATTATATTCTGCAGACTTAAGAAAACGTCTCTGTTTGGTCACACCATAATAATTTAAGTAGGTTTTTAAATGAAAATAATTGTGTAAAAAACGTATCATTCCTATCTAATATCCCAAATCAAATTGCAAACTGCAGTCAAAATAATTATATTATCTTTCAAAATCGTTTGGCCCTTTTTACAATCTTAAAACCCAAATCAACTTTGCATCTTTTTTCTTCGCAACTGCACAATGAATGTACACGCACACAGGCTCCGCTTAGTGATTACGATTGGTGATAATCAGTCGGCAGATAAATCAGTATTTCAGATGAGCATTGGTCGACACTCAGGAGGCTGACAAAAAGAAAGCCTCGTCAGTAAGCTGCCGGTGAAGGACGTGAGCACTCCTCCTTGTGATTTTGGGAAGGTGGTGAAAGAGTTCATTTGGAGCCCTAAATGTTCTCAGTCACCATCGTCTTTTCTAAATGTGAACACGTTTCTCTAAAGCAGCTCTAATCTAACAGCATTAAATATAAATATATATCGTTACACTGTAGAGCAGAGTTTTTCAAAGTGTGAGGCGGGCTTCAAACAGTTTCAGGGGAGGCAGTGAATGAAAGTAAAAACATTACCATCCATCCACTCACACTCACACCTAAGGACAATTTAGGATCATCAATTAACCTAGACTGCATGTCTTTGGATGATGGGAGGAAAACATTTTAAAGAAGACACAGGGAGAACATGCAAACTTCACACGACCTTCTTGCTGTGAGGCGACAAGACTAACCACATCACCACCGTGCCGCCCCAAATAAACCCCAAACATATTACATTACATCAAAATGAGATGACATAGAATAGCCTACGTGTCTGTGGTTTTGCCTTAGGACAGAGCTTTATAATTGTATTTGGTGTAATAAGTCAAACAGCAATATCAGGCTATGTTTGCTCAATTGTTGAGTGTCTGTGGGATCAATTAATAAAGTCATGATCCTGTAGGTTTCCAGGAACTGAGCGAAACTAAGCAAGTAAACTAAGAAGAGGTGACGGGGCGCCTTTCCCAAGCATTGCCTGAGGCCCACAGTCTAAGACTTTGAAAACCCCTGCTGTAGAGAATAATGCAGCTGAATGATGTCTGTCAAATTGAACCCCCCTCTCCCTTAAACACCAGCCACACTCTGAAATCTACACCAGAACCCAATGCTGATTCCTTCATTAGTAAAAACTCAGTCTGAAACTGGCTGAGACAACATGTACATTACATTGGACTACATGACTTTTCTTTGTTTTGATATCGTCAATCTCAGCATCGAACTATGACAACTTGTTGCAGCTCTAGTGGAGAAGTCGTCACACTAGGGGTGTTTTATCACCTTGTTTTGCAAAACAGCTTTTCTCTCACACACTGTTTCAAATACCGTTTGCAGTCTGCTCAGTATTTGCGCCACATCAGAACCAGAACATCACTTCCTTTAACAGGGATCAGTGTGGGAAGAAATGTTGTTGATCAGAAAACTAATGTGACTGTAACTCTAGCACTATAATAAAGGTTATTAATGCAAACTTGACATAACGTTCGCTAGTGTAGAGGTAAAGGACTATACACCTGTTTCCAACGGCTGTATACTACTCCTCATAACTAGTAACAACTCTTAATAACTTTATGTGTAAAATAGTGGAGTTTTCCTTGACTTTAAATCAAACAACGGCCCTTTAAACTGCTGAATGTAACGTATGCCTCAATTAAATAGTTGTAAAGACAGAATGAGGTAAGTTTAGGGTTGGCTAGAAGTCTGTTAAGAGTCTAATTAACTTGTGTTCATAACATTAATCCTGATATGAAGACATTCAGGGTTAAATGTTACACCTCAAACAGGTTTGTTTACTTGAAATGTCAAATCAACACTTCCAACAGGACGGGCAGCTGTGACAGAAGCTAGCCAGTTAGCTTTAGCTTAGCTCCCGTGCATTCACGGCTGTAGTTGCTGGCGTTACATCCACTGAATGCAACACTAAAACGGTGACAACAAGACACACAACGCCGATTTTAATATCGATGACAGCGTTGATAAAGCTTTATGTATCCGCGGCCTGTGCTAAATGCTAATGCTAATGTTGTCAGCGAGCGTTACACGTAGACTGGCTAATGCTAGCAGGTTAGCCAGGCGGCTAGCTAACTCTCTGACAGGCGCAATTAAAGATATTCGGAGACAAAGCGGGACATTTAGTGACTGCGGAGCCTCAGCTGCTTCCGTACCTGTCGTGAGAAGCACAGCGACCGGCGTTTCTCCTCTTCACCATCACAGAAACACCGGAGGGACGGGGAGGAAAACAGCAGGACACACAGCGGCAGATACAACCAGAACACCGACCATCATGCACTGCGGGGGGAGGGGCAGCGACCGTTTCTTCTTCGCGTGTCGTAAAGCACGCTGCTGCCACCTGCTGACCAGCTGTCATCTCTATTTCTGTAAAAACAAACGCATACTTTTGGCCACCTGACATTAAATTTTTACCTCTGTGCGGGACATGACACTGAATTTCCACAAATATCATGTTTGTATTGTTGATTATGCTTTTGTTTTTTTTCAGTAAATTTATTACTTCATTTCGTATCATGCACAAACCTGGAACATTTGTTTTTAATTACTAGTCGTTGTTGTTTTATTGTTATTTATATATATATCAGTTTATATTGTCAATTTATATATTTATGTACACAATATTGTTTTCCGTTGCAATACATCTGCACAACCCAAACCAGAGTAATGCCCATGTAAAAATCTGCCACATTGTTCTTTCTCTGCAAATAGTTGTATTATTTTTCTCTATTCTGTTATTATTCTTATATAACTTGCATTTGTTTGTTCCATATTTATATATTTCTACATTTATTTATGTCAACTGTATGTTTGTCTACGTGTAGCACCTTATCACCACAGTAAATTCCTTGCATGTTTTCTACTTGACAATAAAGCTCCTTCTGATTCTGAGTCTGTATAAAAAGCCGAGGTTTTCCGAGGTTTATGTTAATGTTAAGCCTTTTAAAATACACTTTTCTTCTACTGATTTTCAGCCATTTTCTGCATTTTTTGGTATTGATCATAATATTAAGGTGCAGGAGAGAAGGACGCAACTGGAAGACCTTTGTGAAGTTTGTGAAGTGCAACGTCTTCTCAAAGACCAAAAATTGCTTCCAAATGTGTACCATGCATGACATGTTCATCACATTGTATGTGTTCTGACCTAGATTCAGATCTTCAACCATTGAGCAACATTTTTTTAAAGGTAGTAATATTTTTTTTAAATTGAATATGAATTTTCCATGATGAAATGAGTTATAAACAACAATATAAATATTGTTTAAAATGAGAAAACTGTCCCTTACAAATGACATGGGATAAAACACAAATATACATGTAAAAAAAACTATGGAGTTAAGTTAAAGAAATGAAAATATAAAATCCCTTTTTTCTTAATCTGTTTACTTACACTTATACCTTAAATGTTAAAGAAAAACTATATGCATTCATTATCCAAATGTAAACAAAAGGATAATAATAATCTTAAAAAATCATAAAATCATAATAATATTAAATGTTTTTTTATTTTATTAATTAAATGTTTTGTTGAAAGTACAGTGTGTGCCATGGCTGACATCAAAACTATTCAGCTGCCTAAATATATAATGTTAGCAATTGGACAATATCACATAGTGGTTAACTATCACACTTTCAGACTCATTTGGCATTGTCTGTGTCCACGCAATGATAAACGAATATTTTGTTTTGATTACAATGATTTATTCATTGATGCATCTATTTACATTCAAAACATGAGTTAATTATTGACGTAGATTCAGACTACAACAAAGGTCTGTCCGAAGGCATTTATTAGTTTCTGACTCTGTAAAACTACACAAAACTATCTTACTGTATCTCTGAACTGACTCTTCAATGAAAAAATGAAGGCTGTTCTATGTGATCTCCTTTTGCTAATTTAATATTTGTTCGCTCCCCTGAAACACCTTGGAGCCCCTCTCTGAAAAGCCTCTGACCTGAGGGATGAACGTCTGGTTGTTGCAGGTACCAGTCCAGGTCCCAGCTTTTCACCAACACAAACAAAAACTGCCACACAAACATCAGCAGTGGGTTTTTTATTGTTTGCAAACGGTAAAAAATAAAAATAAAAATACAGTCAGTGAGCAGAATGACTGCAAAGCTGTGAGGGGCAACAAACACGAGTCACAAACCGAAGACGATACAATAGCATGAACAAACACAAGAAACTGAGTCAGTGTGGGTCATCACCTGCAGGTTTACCCTGCTGCAGGTTTTATCTGATGCAGCTGAGGTTTTACTGGTCTGACTGAAGAATAGTTCACTCCAAAATTCACAGATTAACTCCAGTTTTCAGCTTTTGCTGAATGTCTGCCTTCTAAACAGATCATACTCTGTTCACAGCTCCAAGACGAGTCCGAGTTAACATACTGACGCAAGAAATAGAGCTACAATCAGAACAGTTCATCCTCTTGGGAACAGCAATGTGAATGGGGAAATCTGAAGAAAACTATACAATCTTTTTTTGTTTTTTTAAATAAAAGTAGGAGGTTTGGCCTCCTGTGGCGCTGGAGGGAAAGTCAGAAAGCCACAAATATCAGGATAATCTGGTCAGGAGTTGTTGGGACCTATAGTTTCCTTTTGATATCATACTTTATGTAAACATGCACTGGCAGTAACTGGACTTTCATTTTGGAGCGAAGTATTCCTTTAAGAGCACTTGGGACAGTGTTTGTTAAATGTTTAAACCTCGTTTAACTACTGAGCAACGCCACTTTATTGTCATTCATGCCTGTAGTTTATTTTGTTTTCAAAATTTACATTCAATCTGGATGTGTGTGTTTCATGTCCCAAGACAGCAGCCTAAAAAACTTTGTTATGGTACAAATCTCCTGTTAAGATCATAAATAACATTACTGTGTGTTGAAAGAGGCAAGAGCAGGAACAGAGGAAGGTCACTTGATTTCAGAGAACAAGATCAAATACAGAAATATATTAGAGATTACTAAAAGTTCCCGTTTGTGCCACAATTGTTTTTTGTGCTGCTGATAAATCCTATTTCCCACAGAAAAACAGAAACAGGGCCACAGGGAGACACTGAAACACGTGAGTGAAACCAAACTGATGTGAAACGTCTCAGTTTTAAAGACTCTTTAAGGCAGGGTGAGACAGTAATCTGTGAAACATTCCAGCTGTTATTTACAAAAACATTACTGAGGAATAAATAAAAACATCTGTGCAGCTGTCCAGGGAAGAACTGCCACCACTTTCGAGGAGGACAACACTGCCTGAACGAATATATAGAAATAAAGCCCATAGATGTGTTTATATCGGTCAGAGTCAAGTTAAATTAAGTTATAAGACATAAAGTTAAAATACTTCCGTCCGCCCTCCTGTTGTTTAAGGCTTGAGGGGAGAAGTCTGAGCGGTTTCTAGTCCAGCGGGCTTTGGAAGATGAGTCTGATGCAGCCGGACTCACTCAGCGGCTGGATGCAGAAGGGGCAGGCGGCGTGGAAGGTGTGCGTGCCGTGCGGCAGCGGGATCTGACTCCAGTACGCCGTCGTCTTCTCCGAGCAGACGTGACCGCAGGGGATGAAGGCGTGAGTGGGGGGCTCCGCGTCCACGTAGAAGCCCGCCTCACAGCCCAGCCACAGCGGCACGTAGGGGCCCCGCGCCCGGCACATGGGGCACTCCCTCTCCAGACACTCCGCCTCCACCTCGGGGTTGCGGCGCCCCCCCCAGCCGTGGTAGCCGTGGACGTGGCCGCAGCGCAGGTAAGCCCAGGGCTGCTTCTCGTCCAGGACGCCTTTGCGGCGAAGGCTGGGGAAGGCCAGTGTGTTGAAGCCCACGGGACACTGCGGCCGCCCGGCGTTCAGCTCCTGACGCAGCGCCTCCAGGTGTTTGACGGTGGGTGTGTGCGCAAGGCCCTCAGCCGTCCGCCACAGCAGCGTGGCACCGCACAGGTCGATGAGCGAGCCGTCCACCAGCTCGTTAGACTCAGAGACAGAGTCCACCTGAAGGAGAGGCGAGCAGGAGATTACAGGTCATTCACAACAAGAAGAGGCTGCTGCCTGTTCATTCATTTTTATTTGGACACCATTTAGACAGTCAGTCATGATGTCACTTCTTCTTGTGTTCCAGTGGACACAAAATAGGTCTCGGAACAAGTGAAACATGCTCCTGTGTTTTACAATCAAATTAGGCCGACCGTCTACTACAGACCTTGATATTAGAAATTATGTTTAAAGGCACCCTGCTGCGTTTTTAACCACATGTAGCGCTATAGAGCTATATTTTTGCATGCAATGTGAGCACACCAGGGATGGAAATCCGATTTTCAGTTAGGCGGCCAAATGTTGGAAGGCTACCCGCCAGTATATCTAAAATCGCATAACACAGGACGAGAGGCGTTCATTGGTTGTTGTTTATGTTCTTTGGCTTAGATTTGGAAGGAGTGGGCGTTAGTGGACAGGAGTCGGGACGGAAAGAGGGGAGAGTGAGACTGTAGCTGCTTTCATACGAAGATCAGCGCGTAAAGAATATCCACATTTATGTCGCATTCGCTTCTTCATACTGAACAAAAATTTGCCGCTTTATCCCGTGTGAAAAGTTCTTCATCCGGCATGTCGGCTGTGGCTTTTGACAAACAGATCATTAAGTCTTTCTGTCTGGTGTCTGTCACCAACTTCCTCAGCTCAGAGGCGGATAAAATCCGCTACATACCTTTCATAAAGTGCAGCAAGCCGGCAGATTGGCTCAATACCTGTGAAATAAGGCAGCGTGAAAGCTGCTCATGTTAGGCGCTAATTACAAAAGTTGTACTAGCTTTTTGCTGGGAAGTTGGCAGTCCAGTCGGTGTCTGACACGCTGTCAGATCTTCTAATGGTCCTGCTGTCCTCTCCAGAGATCAAGGAGAATGATCCATAGACTGTATAAAAAAATATTGATCCCACAAAACCTGTGATGCTGTGGCACCAGGACTCAGTCAGAACCAGGAGGCCAGAAGGAGTAGTGAGCAGACTGATGAGGAGGTTTAAGTTGAATGATAACGCATGACAAGAGTGAGCTGTGATAAGATTTAAGTTAATGATTAATAAGCAGCTTGTAAGTTTGTAAAACAATTTACTGTTATGATTTAAGTACATTTTATAGCAATAATATAATTTTGCTTCACATTTCACTCTGGCCTCTTCTTTAAGTTTGTATTTGACATAATACCTTATCTCAATTAAAAGGAGAGAAACAGATGTATATGTGACAAAAAAGGCAATTTATTATTTTGGCAGGTGGATTTTTTCATCTAACTGCCACCTTGGCAGGTGAGCCAAGTAGTTCATTTCCACCCCTGGAGCACACGGGTGAAAACATATTAGGTGCGTCTGGCTTCATGCGGCCCTTTGCAGCGCTGACTTAACATGATGCATGCTGGACTTAACATAAGGGCATGCTGGTTAGAAAATGTGTCTGACTTTCGCTGGGGTTGCAAAACGTCACCATGTCACGTGATATTAAAACCTCGCAGGAGCAAGTCCGGCTGTTTTCATAACCCGCCTCTGCAGTAGAGCTGCAACGATTAGTCGATCGAAAGAAAATGAATTGACAGCTATTTTGATAATCAATTAATCATTTCTTTAAGCTCAAATGTTGCTGGTTTTATCTTCTTAAATGTAAGGAATTGAGTAAGGAATTGATGCTATTTTTTGTCATTTATGAGTCTTTGGGTTGTGGACTGTTGGTTGGACAGAAGAAGTAAATTGAAGATGTCACTTTGTGCACCGGAAAATTCTGAGAAACATTTTTTGCCATTTCTTGACATTTTATAGACTAAACGATTAGTCAATAATGAAAATAATTGTTAGTTGCAGCCCTACTCTCGCCTGCAGCTCACGTTTGACTATCAAGTCGGCTAAAGGCAGCCGCAGTCATCTCGAACGCGCCTACATGTTCTTGCCTCTGGTTCCATGCTGTTCTGCTGAGCAACAGTTGGTGTCGGTAATGCATAAAGAAACGTAGCAATGCAACAAAGGCACGGCAGAAGAGGACCGCAGGCAAGTAAACAAGAATGTAAACAAATAAACGATTAAAAATATTTAAACACATTTTTAGAACCTCTTTCTCTCCAACACACATTATGTTAGAGAGAAAGTGTGAATCTACTCCACGGGGCAGATTTACACAGTGATTCATTTGTGTACAGCTCCCATGACGGGCGGGGGGGGGGGGGTCACCCACCAGCTTTCCCCTCTGCTGAGATGATCTGGTTTCCCGCAGAGTGAAGACATTGCCGCAGACTGATATTTCCCTCCACAGGCCAGGTTTAGAGTCCTGGCTGAAGCCGTGGCGTGGGTGCATCACAAGCACGCCGTTGGTGGTCAGGCCGTCCATCTGACCGTCCTGCATCCTCCACTTGGCTGCCTTCTCCTGTGAAGAGGTCACAAAAACAATTAATCTCTAGTTACACAGAATACAAGTAATGAAGCGCTGTCTCATCCACCACAGCAGCAGTTCACGCTGCCTACCCCGAGGAAGATGTTCTTGGAGGAGTCAAAGCCTGCGGCGTAGATGCGTGCAGAGTAAGGCGGGTTTCTTTGGCAGATGATGCGGCAGGCGAAGCGGGAGATGGTGCTCTGAACCGCCTGAGCGTCAGCGTGGCTCTGACCACCGGGCACCGTGTCCGTCACCACAAAGTCAATGGGATTCTCGGTAGAACGACCAATCTGTGAGGAGGCAGAAACAACTTTTATGTTTCCAAATCTGACATTAAAGTGTGTTGACATGCCTGCAGACGCCTTTATCTTACTGCCATGTCCATAGGGACACTGTGTCTGGGATGTGATTATTGGCTGGTGCACACTGGAGGATTTCCAAATCTTAACTGATATACTGATAACTGCTCAGTGAATGGAAGTGAAACAACATTACATTACTTATTGCATTAGTTATGTAAACATGAAGCAGATGGTCTCTCTTCTGTAGTTACAGAAGATTTGGCGAAAGAATAAAGTAATGCAGACGAATTCTGAATGTAACACTGGAGTTAAAAGCTGTGGCGGCAGAAAACCAGACCAGTCTCCGTTTTAGGTCTTTGTTTTCACCGTTTTAGTTTGATCCAAACCGCAGTAGTGTGGATGGGGTCTATTTCTATACTATTCAATTTACTCCACTTTAGCCAATTATTTTTTTTCTTTATGGCTTTCAGTGTTTTTGCTTAAAATGGACGCAACACAGTCTTTTGTGGGTCACAACAATTCCTACCAAGAAGCTGTTAAAAAGTTTACATTTTTGAAAGACTAAAAGAAATAAAGTTAAGTGGTGGAGGTTAATAAAGAATTTCCCCTTGGGGATCACTAAAGTATTTCTGATTTCTGATTCTGATTAAGGCAAAAAGATGAAACTAAATCTCAGTCAAGGACACAAGGTTAAAGAGAAAGATATCATGCTGCTGACAGTTTTTCCACCTTAAGTGGCTGTCCAGACAAACAAAAATAAAACCAAAAGTTTGATTCGATGTGTATATCTGGAGCGACAAAAGGTAAAGTTAGTGTATATTCGTACCTGGAACATGTCTGTGTTGCTGTCGTGGGTGTACTCCACCACCACCGTCTGTGCCCGGGACAGAGTGTATGAAATACTGTGCTGCTCCTTGTTGCTTACAGCCTGTGGAGACACAGAGAAACAAAGAGAAGCGCTGATACGCTGTGTTTAAGGTATGACAATTTGCAATCCAACTCCACTTATCCATCCTGGTAATATTACAGAAATGGATAAAACACACTAAACATAGATAAAATAAGATGTTAAATGATTCATTGATGCACACGGGCCACCTCTACCTGCGTGGTGAGCGCTCACCTTGGCAGCCTGAGGTGTGCATGACGTGTGCACAGTGCTGGGTTTCACACCGTTGGCTTTGTTCCTGAGATACAGAGCGAAGCGACTTTTCCGCCTTCCCTTGTCACCGTTGGGCAGAGAGCCGTTACACCTGAACGCACAAGATGGAAGATCCACACAGGTTATCAGGGCATCCACAAACCTGCAGCACACCACTGAATCAGGAAGCTCTTATATACTGAACTTATACTGTATCATCACAATGTCTCTTGTTGTTTTTTCATTCAATTCAATTCAATTCAGCTTTATTGGCATGATTGTAAAACAACAATATTGCAGTAAAAGTGTGTATTTGTGTGTTAAAAAATAAAATACAAATAATAATAATTTGTTAAAAAAATAAAAAGAATAAATAAAAAATTTAAATAAATTCAATAAAGAAAACGGTAAACGTATGTATGTATTAATAAAAAAAAGTAAACAAAATTAAAAAACAAAAAAATCTGTATCAAACGTGAAATAAAAAAAAAAAAATAAATGAAAAATTACTAAAATGACAATGAAAATAATAATAATTTGAAAATGAATCAATTCATTAATATAATTATCAGTCTAGTCTGAGTTTCCACTGTTTGTCCTCAGTTCGTGGCATGAGGAGATATATTTTGCTGCAGTGATTTGGCATTCTGGCATTTCTCCCAGTAAACGGGGGAGTTTCTGTGTGTCTGATTTTAATTTGGGGTATACTTGGGAAAATGTTAACGAAGTGTTTTTCTCTTAATGTCTCAGTTTCTGACTACAGAGTCAGGGAATGAAGCTGCCTTATATTCAGTGTCAAGTATCATTTCAGTTCTGGATACAAATAATAAAAAGCAAACAAAAGGTCTGAGACCACAGCAGCCAACCTCCCTGAACCACAGGCTCTCTCTTGTGTCCACAGTGAATGGCCTTCAGTCAGGAAGTCAGCTGCATTCTTACTGTGGTGGAGTTTCTCCACACGCTTTAATGGGTTTATGCTGCTACCAAACAATTAACACAATCTAATAGAGGTAGGACAAAGTCCTCGTTTTGCAAAACCCACAAAAGAGTCAAGTCTTGATTATAACTGGGACAACCTTTTTTGAAATTGATCCAGCAGTTGCAACGTTATCCGTTCTAGTGCCTGTTTTTGCCGCTGACAGACTCAGATTGTTATGTTAAGTGTCTGACAACATTGTGGAAAGGATCCCTACAGAGATAGACCTCTTTTTTAAAGAGTAAGATCTTTTTTACTTAATGAGAAACAGTCACTATGTCGCTGTTGTCAAAGCCACCAGACTCCATTAACAAAACCCCTAATTTTTCAAGCACTTGCCCACAAGGGTTACTTTTTAGCCATGTTTCGCAGCACGCTCGCTCAATACTGGACCAAATACTGGGGAAAAAAATGTCATCCCAATTAGTCACAGAGAGTGACTGTTTAAATTTAGTACATTTACAGAAAAAGTAAATGCTTTTAAAAATATTTATTTATTACTTCATGATAAACATCTTAACATGAAACTAAAGTAAAAAGATCATATCTGTCTTGACCCTGTCACACAATTGCAACATTTCATAAGACAGGTGTTGTCCTTTTATTTGTTGCATCTTTAAAATGTGATAATCTGAGTTATCATCTGGTGTCTGTCTGCTGGTCTGGCTACAAAACACCTTTCCCTCCTGCTTGTGCAATGTGATTGGTTGCTGTTGATTTAAGTGAGAGTGCTGTAGATCCTGAAAACAAAGAGCTAATTCATTTACTGGTTTGTAAAATCATTTTTAATCTTTAAGCGCGGGCAGAATTTCAAGTTATTTCAAGTAAAGTAACAAGAATGTCTCCTTTTTCCATTTCTGTTTCTAATAAAACAAAACACAAAATATAATCAGACAGTTTTGGATGCAGCTATTTTTCTAGTCTTTATACTATGCAAGGCTAAACAAGCCCTGGACCTATCTACCTCGTGCAGGTAAGAAGACAAGGACGTTTACTTCCCGAATGTTTCTGTAACAGCTTTCACTGGAGACAGGAAGCAAGTTTCAAACTGTTTCAGTCCTGATTGAAAAGCAGGATGCTGTGGTTTATAATCATCAGGACGCCTGTTAACTTCAACTTAATTTATGTGCGAAACATCATTTATTTGCAGAACATTTTTCTCTTTGTGAGCTGTGTAGTGAATCTGAAAAGAACAAAGGTTGTGGGACCTTTTTAAATAAAAGTCAGTTTAGCTGGAGGTTATCTTCAGAGCCAGACTGCTGCCAACCGCAGGTCACATAAACATGCAAGCTCAGTAAAAACGTCGAGCCATTCTTCCCTGGATAATGCAAACTTCCTGCGTTTTAGATAGAGAGACCTCCTTTCTTTAGACAAACTCCACCGTAGCTCCGCTGTATGACACATAACACTGTTTTCACAAACTATATGGCTCTTTAAAAATTAAACCTTATGACCAGTGTAATTGCCAGTTACCGAGTCTGCCAGACTGTTTAATTCCACATGTGGACATTAAGATACAAAAGCAAACAAAAGGTCTGAGACCAAAGCAGCCAACCTCCCTGAACCACAGGCTCTCTCTTGTGTCCACAGTGAATGGCCTTCAGTCAGGAAGTCAGCTGCATTCTTTACTGTGGTGGAGTTTCTCCACACGTTTAACTGCGTTGAGGCAGAGTTATGCTCATACATTATGCTACAAAGCGCACAGAACTCAAATGAGGGATTTGTTGAATCTTATTTATCTGGACAAACTTCATAGTGTACAAATTCTTATCTGCACAAAAGGAGGCTGCACACAAAGAACAACAACACTAACAGCAAAACAATGCACAAGTCTGCGAGGTTGTTGGCATCGAATATCTGTTTAGATTTTAATTATGTTATCATAAATTTTAGATGATTTTATACAGGCAAATTTCTTGTACAACTGCTTGTGTTTAAGATTTAAGTAGGGTTGGGTATCGAGAACCAGTTCCAAGTTGGAACCGTTACCACATTTCCAAAATCTGTGGATTCATTAAGACCCGTGAGTTTGGATTCTGCTCCTCGGCTCCTAACTTCCTGCATATCTCAGCTCCTGACTGAACTGCAGTGAGCATTTACACTCCATCAAAGGAGCCGCTACGCCGACCTAACGTCACCTCATTTGTTAACAAAGCATGAAGAAGAGAGTCCTTCTGTTTCCAGTCCTGGACCGTGGCGGACCGCAGCAAACGCTCCAAAGTTTGGCTTAGCTTCACTAAAAGAGAGAAGGCCACAGCAGAATGCAGCAGCTGCAGTAAGGAGGTTTGGTGCGAGGCAGGAAGCAGCTCCAACATGACGAAGCGTTTATTCAACACGGCGTGAATCTGAAGGAACGCACCGTGTTGAACGTGCCGCGCTCTCCCAGCTACAATGACGCCCCAGATCCAGCTAACGCTAACAGTAGCAACGTCTCAGGTACAAAACACCTTTTATACTGAAGGGAAACCAATGATGGCTACAAATGAGTCCCCAGAGACGCCCCTCTAGGACAGAGACTCCTTTCACTTTAGCCATGAAGGGGATGATGAGCAAGGAAGAGGATCAAGGTCACCGAGCGCTGACAGGATCTGTGCTGAAGGAACCAGAACCCTGATTCAAGAAGAAGAATCTGAATCGGTTAAACTGACACGATGGCCAACCAAACATATAAGAACTTTGGTTTGTTGAATGAAAAAAGGGTTTGCAGAAAAGTTTAGTATTTCTCGACCTGCTGAAAATCACTTACTCAGTACTCAGCCCTCAAACACAGCACTTCCAACTCAGCTGAGGGAGAAATGTAAAACTGCAGTGTGTCATGATGGCAATAATTCTTCCTTACGTTTTCCATCTAGATGTTGGCATTTTTGCTCTATTTCTTCCAGGACTACATGTTTGTAGCTCTCCATGTTTGCTTTGGAGGAACGTCCTGCAAAACTATAATCTTTAGGTAATCTGCAGGTATGTAAACCAAGGGTGTGCAGCTTCTGGCTTCTGGCACCTCATTGTTGACTGGCTCTGTAAATTAGCTTGGTGAGACTCTGCAGCAGTTATCCCTTTGTCACTTTATCTTGTGTCCGTGCTGTGTTATTATCATGTGGTAATACATTCCTGAGCGGAGACGGTTGTAAAAACTGTCTGGGGTGCGTTCAGTGACTCAACATCTGCAATTTCAGAGTCAACTGTCAAAACCTTCTGACATGTAATGCTACTGTATGTCTTAATTCAAGAATTCAATGCTTTTCGCCAGCTGATTCTCAATTATTATATGTCATTGTGTCCCTGAAAGCACCACCAAAATGGGTTTCAGCACGGTCCATTCTCATGACGGAATTATCAAGCTATGAAAACAAAGTTTCCTGATAAACACATGAAGCAGACAACGTTTTCACTGTGTTGGATTTGCAAGCTTCAGGTCTCTCTTTCTGACACGGTCTCAATTCAACTGCTGCCTGAGAAGCAGGAGCCGGATCTAAAAACAGATGGCATTCTTCTGAAAATGAAATGGTGAGCAGGTATGTAAAGTACACATGTATGAGTAGTTAAAGGGCTAAAACAGGCAAAAACTATAAAGCTCCATCTTGGTGACTTAGATGTTTTGACCACAGCTGTAAAAGCTCCTTATGCTGGCTGCACACTAGAGGATTATTGGGCTGATTTGGTTCTGATTCGCCCTCCAAGGCTGGTCGGAAGTGGTTATTCTGTAGTGTGAGGGATTTATAGACATAATCTTAAGAAAGCCGACTGGAGCCGAGGTTCCCTGATTTTGAATTGCCAATGAGAGCGAGCTGAGCAGGAAGCGTCCCCAGCGTGTTGTGTATCTGCTCTATTCCCTCTTCTCAGTCTCGAGTTCATCCACATTTGATTCTCTTCTTTTAGTTTTTCTGTGCAAAACACAGCAAACACAAGGTCAACCAGCTGAAGACGACAGTCTGTCTGAAGTCACGTTTGATCACGCGAGATTCTGTGAGACCCCAAGTCCCCGGAACGGCCACTCTGAAACCATCTAGACTGAATCGTCTGGTGTGTGCGTTCTTATAGGTTCAGTGTGTAAGTTTTAGTGGCATCTAGTAGTGAGGGTTGTGAATTGCAACCTGCGGCTCAGTCACCCCTCCCCCTCTCCTTGCAAGCTAGCAGGAGAAGCTAATCGCTTCGTCAGCTTTTGTGCTAAATAATAGGTGTGATCCTCCATTTCTCCAAATCTCTTCTTGCTTCTAATAAACCAGTTGACTACAATGACTACTACTTCTTCTTCTTTGTAGGTTTTCGATGCGGTAACAAAACTCTGTAGGGCAGTTTGTCCGTTTGGGCTGCTGTAGAAACATGGCGGCGCAACATGGCGACTTCCATGTAAGGGTGTCAACACATTCTGACTCTTGTCACATATGGACACTTGGTCAAGACCTCTTGGCGTCACTTTTTAACGCCCCGGGTACCCATTTAGTGTCATTTATCAGGGTTTAGGGTTCTGCAGTCAAGTTAGCAACAGTTAGTCAAAATAAAACTTTAACTTTGCAAATCATCGCCATTTTGAAACGGCACATTGTAAAGTTGTGAAACGTTGCAATTTGGTTTGCAAGGCAACAAAAGTACTTGGTTAAGGTTAAGAAAAGATCCTGGTTTGGGTTAAAATAATTACGTACGTCAGATAACACGTGAGTTAATTAGCGTAACTTACGCAATTTACGCAACCTACAAAACTTAAATAAAAATATTTAATGTTGACTTTTTGTTTCACACGGGACACGAACCCCGGTCTCCTGGTTCAAAGTCGGGGTTCTGGCCCTCCAACCACCTCCTTTCTCAGTCTGTTCTGTTAAATATCATGTACCGACGCTACAGGGCTTCCCCCTCTGCCTTAAACTATGACACTATAGGGATCCACAGTGCGTTACAAACTGACGCCGGTGACGAATCAGGGAGTGAGAACAGGTTGGCAGTGTATGTAGATAGAAGTGACTCATTCTAAGGTAATAAAACATACGGTTCATTAAGTAAGGCCTTTATACACCACTGAAAACATAGTTATTGATATAATATTACATTTCTGTCAATAGATCCTCCTAAATATTACACACTGGACGTTTAAGATTAAAATATTAAAAGTCGGTTAAATCTGTCGTTATGTCTGTGGTATCCCACATTTTTAAAAATCGTTTGCGTGCACCAGGCATTAGTGAATATCTTACCCGAGCACAATGAGCTCTCCATATTTAACTGGTCCTTTGGTGGAAGCAGGGGAGGTGGAGATGTTTTCCGGACCAAGTGAAAACATCTGTGCTGCCTTCGGGGGGAGGAGTGGTGAGGATTACTGATTCCCAGTGTCACCCTCAGAGCGTCTCCATCAATGCAGGAACACACTTCACCTGCAGACACGAGCAAAAGAAGCCATTTTTAAGTTGTTGTTTTTTTTACTTTGCAGCAAACATGCTATGGGAAAACTTTGGACATTTTTAAATCCTCTTGAGCCATTCATACAAACACACAAAAAGGCTTCAACACAACAGCATTCACTACTACAAAACACCCACAATGTCTTTGTACAGGGGGCAACACTGGTAGACAATGTGTGTATTCACTCCAGCACACTGAGTGGGGTTGTTAGGTGTAAAACGGGGCCATTTGCGTCCGTGACGGGGTGACTCACTCAGAAGCAAACTGGAACTGATGTTACAATCCTTTGTGCCATGAAAAATAAAACAAGCTGAGCATTAATTCAGAAGCCCGACTCTGATGTCAAAGGACCGAACAGGACACAACGTCATCAAAAACCTGCGAGTTACACAAACGCTTGTTTTGACCAACTCTGCACTGACGTGGATGATTTTATAAACCAGTATAAAAAGAGTTAAATTCAAGGTTTTGTAGAGAAAACTCATTAGACATAATCTTCCAGCAGCTGGAGACAATGTGGGTCAACAGATACAAACCACTGCCTCATATTGTGGTCCAGTGTTGGGCAGTAACCCGTTACTCAGGACTAGTTCCAAAACAGTAATCAAATTATAGTTATTAATACAAATAACACTGTGTTTCTGCGTTACCACCAACGGCAGGTCAGGGGCAGTTCAAGTCGAGAACCTGGACCTTATGTTGACGAGTCAGCTGCTAGGCCAAAAAGCTAGAGGAAGAATGGAGAACGAGGGAGAGAGGCATTCTTTAGACACCTGTAGGTACTACTATTATTGTGTCACAGTCACAGTAAGATGCAAAGAAACTCCGGCTGCAGCCCTTTGATGCATGTGCTCGTCAGGAGAGAGTGGCGTTAAGCAACATCTGATGTTTTATAAAAACAGTGAATACTGCTCTGATAAATGCATTTTATTTTTTTATTTCAGCCAGTGGTGTCAAGAAACGTATGTTTTGTAAAATAACACACTCCCTGCTGTTATAAATTTACTATATATATAATTTATACAACAAATATACACATACCCTATACTGTACAGCATTAACTGGTCTGAGAGGCTGCATGTTTTCAGTTTATCTGATTGTTGACTCCTCAGGTTAATTATTGTTCTAGTAAAGTTGATTCATTTCTAAAAGAGGTTGTTGTGAACAGATTGTCACTTTATAAGAATTAGTGTTGTAGTAGTGAAAATAATATACGTTACATGTTACTTTTAATACCAGTAATAAATAAGGTAATAGTATTACTTTGTAAAGGAATAATAAGTAAAAAAGTAAATTATTATAATTCCTGAGTAACTTGCTCTGGTCTTGCCAGTTCCTTTCTTGTTAGAGGTTTATAATAATCTAAAAAGTACTCCAGCATTTTTAAACCTGGGACCTAGTTTCAAATATGTTGATGGTGAAATGACTAGTAGGTACAAAAAGTTAGGAGTCTGTGCAGCAGATGCTTCAGCTTGAAGCTGTAACATCTGAACTGTCTGCAACGTGTTCCTTCAGGCCGATTGCACCCGTCAAAATGACGTCCACAAAAAATGCTTCTTTTTGCCAGCTGACAGGCTCAGACTGTTGCACCAGGTGTTTGATAACATGGAAAGAAAGATGAAGACTCGCTCAAGGACAGTTCTCACTCTGAAATCTCGTGAGAGGCGAGTTGTTGCAGGAGGACGCCCATGGATACTTGAGTCAGAGTTGGAGAGAGAAGTTTGTTGTGTTGGAGTAACGTTAGGAAATAAAATCTTGCTAGCAGCTCCGCTACATACACAACAAACTCCACCGAGGTTTGTTTGATGAATGTTTTAAGTTTTTATGGTTAAATTCAGGAGTTTAAAGATATTCCATCTCAGGCTCCTCTATCAGCTGACAAAGCACTTGTCGACCTTCTGATGTTATGAAATCTGGATTACTTTTATGTAAAATTCCTAAAAAGCTGACGCATTGTTTCAGCAAGATCTTCTTCTATTAAATTCACAATTATGTAGCTCTTGACCGTTCATCAGCTAATTAAAAGCATCAGAACACCGGAGAGATAAAAATCTCCATCAAAGATCTGTCAGTATGCGTAAATAACTCATAACTTACTAATTTTTTTACATGTATAATGTATTAATGTGATATATATGGTTAAAAACACCCAGCTATGACTCTGAAGCTGTTTTAAAGGTGATTTCCTCTTATTCGAAACTCAAGATAAAATCACAAGTGAGATCTAATATAATGAAGCAAAAAAACACAGTAGCCTATAAAAAATATGAGAGAGGTGAGGATGTGTCATGATGAAGAGATGGTGATGATGATAATCGTTCTAAATTTCCATGCTGCTGAGAAACGTAGCTGCTGACTGTATTAACGCTGGTTCATGCTCCTTTATCAGACAACATATTTTCCCCTTATCTTCATCCAGAAACCTTCATAAGTTTTCTATGTTTGGGACACCACCACACTCCCCCCCTCATGACCATTAGAGGTAAAAAAAATTAAAAAATCCTGGCAATCTTGTGTTGTGATACCGATGTGAACAAAAGACGTAAGATTTCACTCAGTCCACACTTTCACCTGGATTGAACGAACCAGAAACTGGATCACAGTCAAGTGACTTATCCGATAACTGATGGCAACCTGGCCGTAATTCTGTTGCACAGTTTTGAAAAGCCGCAGCATCAACACCTAAACGACAAAATATGTCCCAGCCAAATGTGGTGTTTTGTGCATTTAGATATTGGGTTTTGTTTCTGGTTTGTACACCTGGTGTGCTCTGCTATTACCTGGGGTCAAGATTATAAAGGTAGCATCCGAACTGTTCATAGTATATTACTCAAGGGGGTAAGCCAGAGATCGACAGTGAAGCCGACCAAAGCCTGCATGGAGGGATCCATGTAGGCCCAAATATGACGTCAAAACCCTGTGACACCCCGTCGCACGTGAGAGATGTAACCGTATTGCTTGGATTATAAACTCTCAGCAATCTAAAAAAACTATTCGGCCATCAGTGACGATCCGAGTCAGACAAACATACTGAGCCATGAAACCTTTTGTTGGCGCAGCTACCAGAATTACGGTTTTTCTGTCGTTGTTCTACGTCGTTAAACCAAGTTTAAGGCCCATTTATACTCCTGCGTAGGGTCTACGTGCGTACCTACGCCGTAGGCTACGCGTAGCCATGCATTTATACTTGTGCGTAGGTGTGTCCGTCATTCTGCAATTACACCCCCAGCGTCCACTGTGTTGACCTTTGCCGGCTGAGCAGGCTAACTTCCGGTTTAGCGCTCCGCTAAAATTGCAAACGTGCGGCTGGTGTAGCCTTTTCAAATATTACCGACCGAATGGATCACATTCTGATAGCGAAACGAGTCATTTCGCTCGGGTTGCGACGGCCAAATATATTGATTCACTGTGTTCCAGCCGCCGTTCTGGCCGCTAGTAAATGTTACTTCAAAGCGCGGGGTACTTCCGGTCGGCTCAGAGGCATTGCAAGGCTACCCAGCCGACCAATCACAGAGCTTACGGTCCACGTCGACTCGACGTGTAGTTACATTTTTGAGGAGGTGCACGTCAGGCGATGGCGTAGCCTCTGCGTAGCCCCGTAGCCTACGCCGTCACCTACGCCGCCGATTTGACGCAGAAGTATAAATTGTCCTTTATGCTGCGCAATCATGCGCAGTAGACACTGATGCCAACAGGAAGTGACCCTGTAGTAGTGTGATCCAAAACTGGCTTCACTGCTCTCCATTCTAATCAGCAGGGTGGCTTGGTCCAGTAATATATGTCTATGATCCCTCCATGCAGGCTTTGGTCAGCTTCACTGTCCGATCTCTGGCTTACCCCCATGATTGGTGCTGGAAACCTTTGTTTGACATTCTATTGTATGTATAGGGAGTAGCCTATTTGGTTTTGCCATTGAAACTGGATTAATGGACATTTCACTCTGTACGGTAAAACAAATAAACTTATAAATCAGCAACACAACAAAGCCTGGAGATTCTTAAGAACGAGACGTCAGCCAGGGCACTCCTGGGCTAAACCACCTCAGTAGCTATTGGACTGAGCTATTAGAATTAGTCAAAAACCCTTTGCCCTTCCTCTACGTCAGTACAGTGAATATCTCTGGAGTTGTGGACGAGAGTCTGTTTCACTAATCATCACAGGAATTGGTTGGCACAGGACAATACGTCAACAGGAGCATGACAGACTGGAATCATCGATTGATTCATAAACAATCTAATAAACGCTGATTTCTGAATTTATCAGGAACAGGATGGGACAAGAGTGTCAGAGTCGATTGTAGATGAAACAATCGTCATCTTGGGCTTTGGGAAACGCTGATCAAGATTTTTCACCGCTTTCTGACGTTTTATTGACCAAACAACTAATCGATTATGAGAAAACTTTCAGATTAATCGACTACAGAATTATCATTAGTTGCTGCTACACACAATAAGTTTTGATAAGTAGCACTGACTGTAAACAGAAACCTGGTTAATGTTAGTGTAGAGTTTTAAAACAAAGTGGTCTCAGGGGTGCATGTGGGCAGGAGAAGGCAGGGAGCAATTAACCCCCCCACCCCAGCCTCAGCCATTCTAATGATTGACTGAGCATAAATGTCCCTTATTATTAACCTTATTAATTAATTTTTCACAAAATACTGCCAACATTACCCAGTTCCATGTCTTTGCTGAATATCTTTGGGTTTTGGACGTCAGCGTAGGCCTCTGGAAGTGGTGATCAAACAATTAAACCAATAATTGATTCATTGGATATATAATTAGCAGATTAATCGATGATGAACAGGTAATAGCAGTCCTAGTTCGCTCTGTGTGGTAATCAATCAGAGCTGCATCCTACACAGGATGGAGCCGAAGTTTTAGTTTAGTTTTAGTTTTAGTTTTAGTTTAGATATTGATCTGTTTTAACTGAGTGTGTCCGCGTTGATTGCATCAATAACTGATCAGTTATTTTT